GAAGATGTGTAACGGAATGAATGTAATTTTCGGTTTCTGTTAGGGTCAATTTTCATGGAACAAAGTCGTTAACAATTTTGTAAGAAATAACAATAGATAATTCATAGCGCAAATATCGTAAATAATAGCTATGCATGATCTTTTCTGGCATACTTCGACAGGGGACATTATTATTTCGTTTTCGCCTACCTAACATGAATTTTGTAAGAAGTAACTGCTCAGAAATGTGGAATCATTTTATTGTATTACAAATGTACTAGTACAAGTATACATATCGTGTTGAAAGTCAGAAACAATAGTAAAATGTATATTATTTATTTGTTGATTATTATGTACATACAAACCCACAATGTGTTTGAGTATAGCTACTAGTATTAAAGGTTATTCATATCAAACTATATCAGTATATATGTGGCATTTTAAAAAATGGATGCCGATTGCCTGACCTCGTTTCTTACAGTCACAACATTATATAAAAAGGTTTAACCACTTTATGCTTATGCTTTCTGGCAGTTTATAAATTTTATAAAAAATGCCCTATTTTCATTCAAACATATCACTTTTGTTTTCCCTGTATTCATACAAGTTCGTCCTTGTCGTGACTATTCCCATGACTGTACAAGATCATAGATAAAAAACAGTTTGTGAGTAACAGTAAAATATATCATCCCGAAGAAAATACTGTTTATCCGAAGAATTAGCTAACATTGTTTTCCAAGCGATGATATTTCTGTTGTTACTCACAAACCTGCGTGTTATTTATTTTATTACCCCGAATTTGTACTTCATTGGGACACTCTTTCTATAGGCTTTTAAATTTTAGATTTTTACTGATAAAATAGACTGTTACCTATGTAACAACACAATATATTTACTCATTTGGTACACTTGAATCAACAGCCACATTAACAATACAGAATTAGTGAGGGGAAATAATACGATGCTTCTTCAAGTTACTGTCACAGCATTGTATTCTTACATCAAAATTGCGCGGTAGTAAATAAGTCGATGAAATGAAAAAGAGATCTCTATCGACTGGCAATCCTGTTTTACTGCTCTCTCGTCATTGCTAAAACTTCGACATGACACTCTGGCACCTGAACAAGTCGTGTTCAGTGAAATCTTGGTCATTTTTAATTGCTATTTTTTCTCAGCTAATGAGTAACACGTTATTGAAAAATGAGTAGCATTGAGCCGCTACCCGAGCACTGGCCTCAAGCAATTACTTTATCTCATAATAATAATAATAATAATAATAATAATAATAATAACCGTTGTTATTATTAAAATGACAGACATTCTGCCTCCTATTTTGAGTAAAGATATATTTCAATACATACTTAATAAACCCAAATGAAACCTCCCTCCAATAAGACGCCATTTTTTATCTTATTTAAAAATAACTCGAATGGCTAACCGCCATCTTTAATTCAATTTAAAAAGATTCATAAAGGCTATAACATGCTCGTTTTCGTACAATCCAGTTACAATTAGCGTTAAAAAATCTCTTTTCAGAATCAAAAGAGTAAGGCTGACTTATCATTATTGTTGAATAAATGAATTTTTAGACCGGCTGCTGATGAACGGCCTTGCAGCAATTACTATGTCTTATTATTGTTATTATTTTTATTATCGTTATTCATGTCATGTATTGTGTGTATCGAACTTTATTAGCATTCCCTAACAATAAGGCGCCGCCATTTTTAATCTTATTTAAAAATAACTCTGAAAGGCTTACCGCCATCTTTAATTTAATTTGAAAAGAACCTTAAAGGCTTACCGCCATTTTTATTTTAATTGAAAATAACTTAAAAGGAAATTGGCATCTCAAGAGCACTTGATAACCACTTACAGAAAAATAATTCGTCTCAAGTAGACATGATAAACACTTGAAAAGGATTATCCTAATTTCAAGAGGATTAATTACGTCACTAATCCCTGATCCTGATCCTGAAAAAAAAACTAAAAACCTTTCGCTATCCGACTGCCACTACTCTTAGTAAACAATATAATTATTTTATTTTTTCATTCTGACTCATTAAAATCTATCCTAAAGGATACTGTTCTTATTCATTTGAAACATAACAACATAAACATGCCATTGAAAGCATTTATAGATAAATTGTTTAAAAAAATATGAAAAAAAACAGGAAAGATTGGTAGGTATGTTTCATACAAAATTTCGTTAAGCAAATAAAAGATCACTAAAATTATACAATTTACATTGGTATGACAAAATGAAAACAAAGATCAACAAGGAAAGGCGACGTTCACAGAAAGCAGCCCCTAACACAATCCAGCTACAACAACAGGCCACCCACCCAGAAGGCACCAAACCAAAACCAGAAGAGGACACAATGGTGGCGAAAGGAGTGGAGAGACATTTAATTCAAATGGTAAGAACTAAAAGGGGACGAAAATGGATTTAAAGGAACAAGGCGTGTATATATGGAGAAAGTATGTGGAGGAGGGGGGATAGAAAGGGACAGGGCACAAAATGGAATAAGAGAGGGCATGGAAAGCAAATACTTAGTACCGATAACGACAATTTAACAAGATAAGACATTGCAAAACGTGCAAACATTCAAAACATGTAACAATACATACACTTGAAACATTTAAAGGACCACAGAGCCTTGGATTAACATCATTAGGGAATTTAAACTGGTTTTAGATGCGGCAAATGCCACTTTTAGTCCCAATATGTTCCTATATGACGAGATAGTGTAAATAAAATGAATCCCCGCCCAGGGAAAGTACTATTACTAAGGTTATAATAGACAAATTAAATAAATGAAACAGATAAATGATCATGTATTTATTCACAAAAATAAAAAAGTACACCCTAACGACCATAACAAAAGTACTCGATGACTGAAAGGAATGCAGAGCAACAACAAAATCACCAAGGGAGGGACCACCGAAGCAAGACTGAAGATAAAAATTAAAACAATTCACTCCAACACGCTTTAGGAACTGTCCATCTTTAATTCGTTCATTTGATCCGTCAGATAAAGTCAAAAGAGGAAAGTGTAAAAACTGTAAAATGGTTGAAGACCAAGCATGCAGTATGTCTTAAAAATAATTGGCTCATAGCTTCTTTTAATAAAACGTTTAATACTTTTAGTGAAGACAGCTGAAGAATTACTATTACTCATGCTCCTACAAAGTTATAAATCAAATCTCAATAGAAATCAGGCTTGCTAATACCTAGTAATAACAAAGTGTTTGTTAAGGATTGAAATTTGTTAATCTGCAAACGATGTATGTAATATATCTTAGAAAATAATGATTATTCATGGTAAGAATATCATCTAAGTAGCGGGAACTTCCTGTTGTTGTTGTGAAATAGGAGAGAGAGACTTAACACAAAATCCCTCTCGTAGCAATATAGAAATTTATCAGCTATTAGTTCCCATTGAAATGCCCGTCTGTTTTTAAACTGTTTTACCAAACCTGACATAAATGCTATCTTATAAAAAGAAGTTTTACAAGCTTCATAACAGGTTCACATTGCACATTCTTTTAATGAAGCAATTGGATTACAAGCAAGAAAAATATTCCGTTATTGCAAATGTTTTTGTTTTAATTTGAGATAATAATGTATCATTGATAAGTGTTTGTGACAATGTAATATATAACGTAGATAAATCGTACCAACGGATGAAGCTTGATCAATAGATCTTAAATTTCACTGAGATTTTAAAAAGACCAGAAAAGACATTTGCCCGTACTTCCATGGTCTGATTTACAATATGTTATGACAAGTGCTTTAATGGCAGTTAGATAAAAAGTCAATAGAATTATAAAAGGATTACTGGTAGTACACGAACCAGAATTAGCAATGAAGCGGGCTTTATATTAAATATGGATGTTTATGTAATTCTGGAACATTATAGGAACTTTGAGTTCTAGTTCTTTGTCATCAACACGGACTTTGAAGTTAGAAATGCTAGAAATTTGACTGTCAACAATATCCTCGTTTAGAAACGAAGGTTTTGATATAAACATCAAAACTGTTAAGAATGAGACAAAATAAAAAAGGCAAAGGCAACGTTCACTTTTTGTATGGCATTTATATAATGGATATGCCATACGATGAATATGTTATTGACCGCCTTGTCAACCGGAACCTAAACAAATTCAGAGTGTAAATATATCCTTTCTTAGATGTCGTAAAATAAGATTGAGTTTAGGTGGCAGAACATGTTCATTCCCACGATAGAAATCAGTACATGGTTCAATAATTTTAAATATTAAATTATGTGTCCATGAATTGTGTGCATTAATATCAGCATTTCGTTTTTTTGTTACCATTTTAAATTTACATTGTCTATACGTTTCCGCATGCTATAAATAGAAAAATAGAAATAGGGTAATCGGAAACGGGTTTGTACATTTTTAATCAATTTTAATTTAGCTAAGTGTCTAGCTTTTGTTTTAAATCCAGACGATGTATGAGAATCGTAAATAATATATTCTACTGGCTGAATTTTTTCTTGACTGTTTAAAGGAATGGCCAACTTTTTTGTATGCCAAGTGTTTAAACAAAAGAGTAGTAAATTTGCCGAGGTTTCTCATTTTATAGAAATGTTCTCAGAATCTAATTCTAAAGGAACCTCATGTTTGCCAAACATACTGAATGCTGCAACCGGGAGCATTTCATGTTTACACATATTAAATAAAATGAGTTGACTTTCTGATTTAAAAAGTTTTGTTTTGTTTCTGTTTTTATGTTCTGCCATTAACTGTAGAGGTAATATTACACCTGTGTGATAAAGAATTGCAACATCCGCACCACTTTTAATTACACTTGTTAATAGAAGGGTACAGTCTAGATCTATGAGGATAATTAGTCTGTTTGATATTGTTTTGAAATTCTTTAACATGTTAAAGCCTAATACAATATACGTTGTGAATTTCTGAATTACAATCTACGGATCGCGGATTTTTTTTTTATCTAGCTTGTATCTAGGTGTAAAAATAACAGTTGTACATACCTAATCTAACTGTAACGAGTGGCCCATATTTCTTTGACCACTCAAACGCTTGTTCATGCAATATCTTTTTGTCAATTTCTGTAATAGAATAAAAACAACTAGTTTATATATTAAAAACAGATATCTATTTGAATCCTTCAATTATCAAGTTTTAAAAATATGTAATTACTTAAAAATTTCAATCAAACCTGAAGCATTTTATAAGATTTCTTGAAGACAAAAAGTAATCTGTACAAATACATTGTGGCTTGGTTCTATTCTTTCACGAAATTTACTTACGCAACATATTTCCAATGAGCGGCAATGCAGGAGGTCCAGGTGGATATCTATATTTCCATTTTTGTATCATCCAATACGCAACAAGACCAGTAACTATTGAAACAAAACATGTTGTCCAGATAGATCCTGACAACAAGAACTCTTGTATCATGTTAAACGACTATGTGTTGTATATTATATTATAATCTGTAAACCTGTCAATAAAAAGAAGCATGAAGTTAGTTTATATGGGATCTGTAATGACATGTTTTATTATTATGTATGATTTACTCTGAGTGATGCACCAGATATACTTAACCCGGTCCCTGATCCAAATGTCCATGATGGTGAAAGGCTGCTCACAAACGTATTTATTCGTAGTGCCCGATTGTATTTATACATAACTTAATCGACACACTTATAAGTTTTTGTGATTTTCCATGTGCATTTTAAAACAGTTTTCATTAATCATCATTGTTTAATCGCCATCGAAAAGGTGAATTTCTTTAAATGCAGTTCTTATTCACCTCAAATGCAAAAACATGAGCATAATTTCACCTTAGAACAAGTATTTACCTGGACCAGAAAATCCCGCAGCATTTGCACTTAACTGTTAACTTAAAATGTACACTGTTATACAGCAGGCTATTTGCATGAATGCATTTGTACGATCGATTTACTAAGTTTGTATACATTCCCTATAATACCTTTTATATACATTTTACGTAATACAAAATGTATGTTTATTAGTTGGGCATTTTACCAAATCTGCAAAACACATAATTCTTTTGCTGGTAAAATTAAACACAGAGTTGAATGCATATTGAAATGTAGCACACCTTGTGTAAAATAATAAAAAACATATAAGTTGCACAGACGCTTGGGGTCAGATCCTGCCCCCAACGTGATACGCCCCTGTAAACACTCTACCAAAACTATTTTAATATTTTAACACAAATGGGACATCTATTACAACGATAAAAATGGTTTTCAAACAATTTTTACATATATGAAAAAATACCGTATACCATCAAGTCTCAATAAAGTAAAGATTACAGACTCCAAAATGTAAACACGATAACCCTTGTATAATAAAACCTTTATAAATCATTATTAAATGAACCTTACCGTGACTTTTCCGGTGTAAATCAATAGAAAATAGAATTATCTCCTAGATGCAATCAGAATAAACATTTATACATCTCATTGTAATATGAAAATCAACATTTAATTAAAAACCGAAAGTAAATTTTGCGTTCTGTCTAACCAATACGAGACCTGATCCCGGCTCTGCGTGGAGCGCTTGTCAAGCCGGTATCCAAACGGTGTACATGCTTTCGACTAGATATCTACTCGAGCATTCTATCCTCATGTCCCTCGTATTAGCTGTCTGCAAACGCTCGTTTAAAAGACATTTATTTGTAATAAAACTATTACCAAGATGCACAGTGTGTTGTTTCCCAATTTTTTTTAAATTCTATATAATGTACAATTTAAATATTTGAATTTGGACATGAGGATATGATGCTCGAGTAGATATCTATATGTAAAAATTGTTTGAAAACCATTTTTATCGTTGTAATAGATGTCCCATTCGTGTTTAAATATTTAAAATAGTTTTGGCAGAGTGTTTACAAGGGCGTATCATGTTGGGGTGGGGGGGGGGGGGCAGGATCTGACCCCCAAGCGTCTGTGATAAGTTGTTGTGCAAACATTCTGTCATAATACGAATGCGTTTATGGGACACAGAATTTGCAATATTTTCTCGAAAATATTATTTACATCAGGTAAAGTGTTTAAGTAATCTGAAAAAGTCACAATTTGAAATAATACCTATGTCTACAGTTGAGAATAATTGCGATACAAAATATATAGATACCTTCTTTGTATTTTAAAGAAAATATGAATTGAGCAACATTTTCATTTTTGTTGTTTTGGGCTTTCTTTAGGGATTCTTTTGTTCCCTTTTTTGTAAGATAACATTTAAGCTGCGTCACGACAAAAACAACATAGTGCGTTTGCGACCAGCATGGATCCAGGCCAGCCTGCGCATCCGCGCAGTCTGATCAGGATCCATGCTGTTCTTTACAAGTAGAGAAACTGATAGCGAACAGCATGGATTCTGATCAGAATGCGCGGATGCTCAGGCTGGTCTGGATCCATACTGGTCGTAAACGCACTATGTTGGTTTTGTCGTGACAAGGATCATTTGTAGGTGGAATCGTGTATCAGTTGCACCGTAAAAAAAATTGTGACAAGTACAATGTACACATATGAATTATTTCAGAATAAGTATGTTTAATTGTAAACACGCACAAGAACACTCAAATTATTTGATTCATAATATTTATCTACTTGAAATATTACAAATATATCATTTAAAAATATTGATATTTAGACAAACAGACAATTGTTACTGTTATATTCCACATGTTCTGACGTACGTTTACAGAAGTTATTATTTGAGCCGCGTCACGACAAAACCAACATAATGGGTTTGCGACCAGCATGGATACAGACCAGCCTGCGCATCCGCGCAGTCTGATCAGGATCCATGCTGTTCGCTTACAAGCGGCTTGTAAGCGAACAGCATGGATCCTGATCAGACTGCGCGGAAGCAGTGTGATAAAACTATATTGTGTGAATTACCCTGTTTTTTTTATTCATTTCAACTGTCTCTAAATTTGTTTTATAAATGTTGAAATGTCTGGAACCGATCACGTAAGTATAAAGTAATGCACTTACCAAGTGATGCTGCCTTTTCCGCAATAAAATTTTACGGTCGAATGCTCTGCTCGTGACATGTGGGCGAGGGACGCAAGTAGATTGACTTCAATCTTTCAGAAAAAAAGTAATTTAAAACAAGAATTTACACGAGCCAAAACCCCCGCCGCATTTGAACATTTTAACAATACTGAAAAAAGATGTATCCTTCATTTGCAATTATGACTTTGCACGATCGTTTTGTGTTTTATATTTTATTATTGTACCATAGTTTGTAGACCTTTCTGTTGAGAATGTGTCCGAGTTAAATCGTATACATATACATGCACGGTGCGTTAACTGGAATGCCGGTACTAGTTACCCGCACTCCAAAGCATGCCCATTGATTGGCTCGTTTTAGCTATGGTTTACTTATTGTGACGGCAGAGAAAGGGAAAGCGATAGAGATTTCATATTCAGATGCTCGTTCATTGGTTCCTTTTTTCTGGGGTCAGGGAACGTGTTTTTATGTTTGACTATGATACAAAAGAGAAAAAAACACCGAAACACTTGGCAATCTGATTAATACTCGGGAGTTACGCCCCTTCGTACAAATCAGATAGCCTCGTGTTTCGGTGCTCTTTCTATTACGTATTATACTTACAATATGTCAGACCTGCATTTTTCCTAATCCGGATTTAAAAAAAAATTCTATATAACACTGTAAACCACGACACTGATATATCAAAAATAGTCACAACCCCTCGTCTGAAGATATTGATTGTGACTATATATAGACTTTTATCTCGAATAAATGTGCAAATCAAAGAGCAACGTACATCGTGCACCTAATCTGCAAACATTTTGTCATAATGTGGATATGTTAATCGGTTTGCAATACTCTTTAATTCGCACAGAAAGATAACATTAGGTAATATGTCTGCATAATATTGAGATAAAAGTTACAATTTGTATGCTAATAATCGAGATGAATTATGAAACAGTCGTTACATACATATAGGAGTATTATTTTAATAAAGAAGTTACAAACATATAGGAGTATTATTTTAATAAAGAAGTAAAACGGTACGATTTTTATTCCTAATTTTAGGACATTAAAGGGACTACACTGAGGTTTTTTTGGACATGATGGGACTGAAATGTTTCCCCCAGATAAATGTATCATTTGATGTAGGTTTGATGTAGGTTTAGACCATTAATCTGTGTACAAAATATTAGATCATTCGCGCACTTCATTTTTCCAGAATAATTAATCAAATTCAAAAAATGACCCAAAATGAAAAGCGTTTTAACGCTTTTCACTCAAATCGGGCGAAGAAAAGCATAAACATATGATTTTCAATTAATTTCAAAGTATATTTCTTAACTATCTTTGCATATATTTCAGTTTAAAGTGTCCCAGATCATTTATGTAAGAAATTCAAATGTTATGTTTTAAGCCTTTTAAACCTCAGTGGAGTCCCTTTAAAGAGAATTAAAATTTTGGCTTATCTCGTAACAAACTTCAGAGCAATACCAGGGCTCAAAACCATCTCCCTTACTAGACCTAAGAGAAGCATAGACCTTTGTTATTCGAACCCGTTAAGTCGCCTATTAAATCACACAGATATTAACGGTCGCTGCAATCCTTATGCCTTTAAGCTTAAAGGAAAGGGGAACAAAAATTTCCAACACGTATCAAAATTATTAAGGAGAACTAAAATACATCTCTTTATAAGATGCAAGTTTGTTTGTTTGTTTGTTTCATTTTACGCATTTTCCCAACAGTATTTCAGTCATATAGGCGGGTACTTTCCTAAACATCGTTCCCTGAGAGTTACACCAGTACTAGACTACCTTCCTCCGCGCTTAACTACCAAAGCATCTCCCGGGGATCGAACCCACGCCAGAGAGGTAACTGGATTAGAAGTCATTGATTCTAACCCCTCGACCACGGAGGTGGTTGTATGAAATATCCGTTTACAAAATAAACTATTATTCGTACTTGTGTAATCTAAATAGTTTGATAAATAAATTACTTGATACAAAGGTTCATTTAAAATCAGTTTTGATTCAAATGTTAAAGCCCAATAAACCTTAAAAGTGCATCAGTTGTATTTGTTCATGTGTCTACTTTTGGTATACTGCTATGGTAAAAAAGTTACAAACTGGCCATATACCCTAGTCATCTTTTAAAGAAATTTGGCAATACTTATAATGATATTTTGACATATTACCGATATTTCATATTCAACGCTATTTTCATCAGGTGAAAAACATCTCTCATTTTTAAGATCCATTACTATATACTGAGCCGCGTCACGACAAAAAATTTTCCTCCAAGTATGTGCATAATTTCGTTTAATATATAGTTTCATATCTATCTTCATCTAAACTTATTCCTAAAATTGTACCTTTTAGGATTTCAATGAATGTGAAAAAAAGTTCAATAACATAAACAAACAAAACCAAAATTTTAACACCGCTGGATGACATTTTCACAAAGGGTTGTTTTTTCCAAAAGCTTTTATGATGTTTAAAATAATGAATAATCAGGCGCCTTCTTATTTATTGAAGAATTTCATTTTATCGTCAGATGTTCATACTCGCACTTTGCGTCCATCGTCTGATTTTCAACTTTATGTATCATTTGATGTAGGTTTGATGTAGGTTTAGACCATTAATCTGTGTACAAAATTTTAGATCATTCGCGCACTTCATTTTTCCAGAATAATTAATCAAATTCAAAAAATGACCCAAAATGAAAAGCGTTTTAACGCTTTTCACTCAAATCGGGCGAAGAAAAGCATAAAAATATGATTTTCAATTAATTTCAAAGTATATTTCTTAACTATACTCCTCGACCAAATACTGAAAATTTCCTAAGTCTTTGTTTATTCTGGATCTTGTATTTGGAACGGCCTTCCTGGTTATATTAAGTCTGCTACATCTGTGAACCATTTTAAAACCCTATACTTGAGTTATTATCACACACTTATTTATACAAATTGATAATCTCCTGTATGTAAAAATAGATTTATGTATTTATTTAAAATACATTTATGAATATGTTATTATATTGTTCCTTGTTGAGGGCCTCATGGAAGATTGATATGTTTGTTCAAATGAGTTCTCTCGTTAAATAAAGTCTTTATTATAATTATTATTATTATTATG